TTAACGGGGAGTTTTTTTGAAAATTTATTATGATCTGTATCGTTTCTTTCTTGTCAGTGATTTTGCAACTGCACATTCAAATGGCTCTATCTCGGAAACAGTGGGGAATAGGACGTATATTCATATGAACGTTCTCGCTTAAAATGACCGCTACTATCACCTGCCAGAATATTGACCTTTCCCGCTGGAACACCCTGTATACCGCCATGTCTCGTTAGGTTAATAGAGTAGTATGCGTGCATCGGTCTGTCAGTGACACGCTTTATATACCTAACAAGACATAGGCGGAATTCTCGCCTCACTTTTCATTACTCGTAGCAGCACATAGAAGTCTGTGGGGAACACACGATCCATCTCGCCTAAAGTATCGAACGTTCGTGCCACGCGAGGGGAAGAGGGGGGGGGGGGCTTAAAATCCTCTCGATCGCCGACAGATCGAAGCGTTTATACCCGCGCGGACTCTCGAGGGCATCTAATAGGGGCATCGGTCCAACCCCTCCTCTCTCGGGATCCGCTGTCAAAAATACGCGGGTGCGCCGCTAAAAATACACCCGCGGGCGAAAGTGTACATATCCGGGGAAAGGGAGGGGGCCCCGTATCGAGTAACACACATCGCGCGCGTCTCCGAAAAATACTCTTCGGCATTCGTACGTTTAAAAGTGAAGCGGCAATCCGGTTTTCTCGCTCGTCCCCTCCTCCGTGGCGAGCGGACGGGTCGGCGCGAGGAGGGAAGAGCCGGAAAGAGCCGGTCGTGCGAGAGGACCTTTATGCGCGCGCTCGGCTCGCCAGACGCGGTCGAGGGCCCTTCCGCCCTTTCTCCCCCCCCCACCGTCCCGGCCAGGCCCTTGGCGGCTCTTCCCCTCCGTCCGCCGTCCCGAGACACAAAGCTTGGTTTCTCTCGGCGATGCACAAGGTCTCTCCCGTTCGTTTCCCCGGACACCCGGTGTCCGTGCCCCCTGCGTGCCCCGCGTTTCCCCCGCCGACAATCCGCGTCCGTCTCGCTCGGCGCTTTTTCACGGCGCGCGCCGTCCTCGTCTCGCCGGTTCGTTTTCCTCCTCGGGGCCCCGTTCCGCCGTCTCCCCCGGCCTCTCCGTTTCTTACCTCGCCGAGCCACGTATTCTTTTCGCCCGTGTGATCGTCCTGCGCCGAGCGTATATACCGGGTGAAACGTGCGCGCGAGGCGGAATTCTCCCGCGTGTTCTTTGTTCGCGATGGGCTCGAGCGCGCCGGAGGGCACCGCAGGCGAGAGATCTCTCCGTGGCGCACGGTCGATTTAATAACGACGAATAATTCCGGGACGAGTCTGACGGGGATTTCACTTTCGTACGTGAATATAACGTTGTAACGTTGACCGAGGAATTTTGCGACGGCTTCGCGCGCGAGGTGGCCGCCCGCCTCCTCGAGGGCGTTTCGAGCGTCACGAGACAGAGGCGACGCGAATTCTGGATTATTTTTCGGCGGCCATCATGAATAACGCATCGAGCACGCGTAATTCTCGCCGGATACGTCAACTATTTTCGAACGATAGAATATTACGCGCTGGAAATAAAATCGAAATTTGGATTATGCAAATGCAAACAGGATCCGTATTATGCAAATACAGTCAAGATGTGTGCTATGCAAACTCGTATTATGCAAATGCCCCCCGGCGGAACATTTATTTCCACTTTCCTACGGGGGCGGCGTTCTAAACGCGCGGGCTTACCGGCCGCGCGCTACCCGCGGAGCGCGCGGGTCGCGCGACGATTATTCGCCCCGCGCGCGGATTACGAACTGCGACGAGCGGGTTTCCGCGCGCTCTCTCGCCGCCGAGGGAGCCCGCGCGGGGTTGAATAGCGCGTAATCGCCAACGAATATCGCGGACACCCCGTATACACCCTGGCGCGCCTCCTACGTCGCCGACACATCGGCAACGGCGGCGACGGCGGAGCGACGAGGACGGCCGCGCGCGCGAGCGAGATCGCGGCGGATCGAGCCGCGTCGGCTGTTGCCGGCTGGCGAGCCTCCGCTCGCCGCCGCCCCCCCCCCGCCTCCGCCCCGCGAAGGCCTACGCTCCCCCCCTCTACCGCCGGGAGCGTCAGTCGCCCCGCGTCCCTCCGCCGAGACGGAGTCGTTGTGTCGCTCTCCCCACTCGCGCGCGCCAAACCCCGCGCCGCACCTGGCCCATCGCGCGCCGCGCGCCACGCTCGGCTACGGTAAGTTCGCCCCCCCCCCCTCTTTCCCTCTTCCCATTCCCTCCGCCGTCCCTGCGTCGTCTCTCTCTTCCGCTCTCGCCGTGCGCCTAACCTTCTCCCGCGAGCGGCGGAGTCGTCGCGTCTACCGCGCGTACCCCCTCCCCCCCTCCCTCTCGCTGCTTCGCTCTCTTCATGGCGCGCCGCGATTCGTAGCGAAGTTTCCACGTTGCCTCTCTCTCTCT